TCTTCTCTTCAGACTTCATCTTCTTCTTCTTCTTCTTCTTCTTCTTCTTCTTCTTCTTCTTCTTCTTCTTCAGATTGGAGACTTATACTAGTTGGACAGAGATCAGTGTTGGACTTCGGTGGTATGAGACTGTGGTACTTACCGGATTGGAGACTTGGAGATTGTTGGGGTTGATACTTGGCGGCATCACAGTTCGGACACCGGTTACATTTGGACCCTGTATCTCCGACATTGGTGACTGATTGTCCTCGACATTTTGATCTTGTTGGATGACATTTTGGACTACCATATCGGTGACCTATCGGATTCTATCTCGGTGACCTACCGGTGCTGTCTACCTCCCCCACCTCCTTCRTCTCTCCTCCCACCTCTCATCTGTGTATGTGTGTACGGGATCTGGGCATCGTCCATGCTTGGCCCAGACCCCACCATCTCACGATTGTATGTGTGTGGAGTGATTCTATGTGAGTCAGTCCGTTTATCAGACTTCCGCTGCATATATGCTCATCCTACATTGGTTGATCTTTGGTTCTGCCCATACTCATTGAAGTATGTAACAGCTGAGCTTCAATCACATCCAAGGCAGCGTCCATCGAGTTTTGATTCAAACCAGGCAGCGTCAATCGAGTCTTGATTAAACAAAAAAAACAATGCAGCTGAATGGGTTTCGTTGTCTTGATTAAACGAAAACCAATGCAGATGGCAACCAGTCAACACAAGAAGAGAAAGAACTGGAACAAGATGAGCAACTCTTTTTAATAACACTATTGCTATTGCTGCTATTACAATTTACAACAATATAAGCTATTGCTATTACAACATTGAATATATAAGAGTTTCTATGTCCTACAGTGCTACACTCGACTTGTCCGCAGTCAAACTCATCACTGCTCACCACCTCAGATCAAAACAACCCATGTATGGCAACCTCTTCTCACCACTCCACAGGCTACTCTCCTGCCCTCGCACCACTAGGTCGCACTGGTCTTCTCTTGCCAGACCCCCCAGAAGACCAGCACCAGCATACCGGAGTTTTGGATGAAGAATGCCGTTCGCTTGTAGCTCATAGGAGTCTTCTTCTTCAATGCCATCTCACTCCATAATGGCTATGATGGCGTTCACAGGTTAAAGTTCCATCAAACCTTAGATGAAGAATCCTGGTGTACGACAGCTGCATGGACCTTACCTTCTTCACCCGAATAGAACGCCCGGTAATTATTGCCGTATCTGGGCTGAAAGATGTGCTCATAGGAGTCTTCTTCTTCAATGCCATCTCACTCCATAATGGCTATGATGGCGTTMACAGGTTAAAGTTCCATCAAACCTTAGATGAAGAATTCTGGTGTACGACAGCTGCATGGACCTTACCTTCTTCACCCGAATAGAACGCCCGGTAATTATTGCCGTATCTGGGCTGAAAGATGTGCCAAATACAGCTATAATGACTGGGCGTTCTATTTGGGTGAAGACAGTAGTCGCCATGTATACTTCGTTTCCCCTCAGGCCTCTTCTGTCTCATGTGAGCCCTCTTCTCTCTCTCTCTCTCTCTCTCTCTCTCTCTCTCTCTCTCTCTCTCTCTCTC